TGACTGAGGGGTATATAGCAGTAAACAGCAGCAACTTTCACTAAGTAGCACATTATTACTCACACATGCATATTAAGTGTAAGTTTGTTTAGTCAATTATGTATTACACGTACTACGCAGCAACTAAACAAAATATTTTCTCACAGCATATGGTACAGTCAATAAATGCAACGGTTGCTGGGCGTGGTGGCTCATGCCTGTAATCCCAGTACTTTGGGAGGCTGAGGTAGTCGTATCACTTGGGGCCAGGAGTTCGAGATCAGCCTAGCCAACAAGGCGAAACCCTGTCTCTACTAAAGATACAAAAATTAGCTGGGCATGGTGGCACATGCCTGTAATTCCAGCTACTCGGGAGGCTGAGGCATGAGAATCACTTGAACCCATGAGGCGGAGGTGGCAGTGAGCCAAGATTGCACCACTGCACTCCAGCTTGGGTGACAGTTTGAGACTCCGTCTCAAAAAAAATGAATAAATGAACGAATGAATGAAACAGTTACATAATTTTTTAGTTGCATTAAAATAAGAAATATAATCACTTCCAAGAAGGAAACAGAAACAACATGTATTTATAATATACACACATATCAAGTATAACAATATCAAGTGTTACACTTACTTAACCCCATCAGTAATCTTGAGGTGGATACTGTATTCTATTTTAAAAATTGAAAAATTAAAGTTAAAATTAAGTGTTGGATAACTTGTCTAATAATCTAACAGTATGACTCCAGAACCAGTGCCCTTAACAATTCTACCAAAAGAATAGTTTCCACACTGGAAAGCATAAAGCTTTCCAAGCTAAATGGGTACGGAAAGAAAATATCAGAATTTCTAATTAGAAACTAAGCTTTACAAATATTCAATATATGGATCAAAACCAGGTTTTAGTAAGATAATATGTCAGATGATCACATGTCACTTACTGGTACTCAAGGTACCCAGAGGGAGAAACAAGAAGTGCTCAATGTAGAAGAACTGACTTTCCTTACCTGCTGGCTCCTTTTCAGTGTACTGTGACATATATGGCAGTGTCTGTATGACTAGTTCAGTAGAATTATAGATGTGATTTAGTTTTTATTCACACTATGGATAAGCCACAGGAGATTCCTACAAAGAAACAATGAATTGAACAACAGATTAATAATAAAAGCAAAAAAACAGCAAAAATGATACTTCTGCTCCTCCTAGGGAAGCCTTATAATAAAACTTAGAAAAACACAATGTGATGTAGCCAGGCACGGTGGCAAATGCCTGTAATCCACCTTAGATTACAGCACTTTAGCAGGCCAAGGTGGGCAAATCAGTTTGAGCTCAGGAATTAGAGACCAACCTGGCCAACATGGTGAAAGCCTGTCTCTGCAAGAAATACAAAAATTAGCCAGGCGTGGTGGTGCACAACTGAGGTGGGAGGATTGCTTGAGCCCAGGAGGTAGAGGCTGCAGTGAGCCGAGATCATGTCACTGCACTCCAGGTCTGGGTGACAGAGTGAGATCCCGTCCCAAAAATAAATAAATAAAAACAAGCAAAATGCAACATGATTTGACAAACCAATCAAAAACCCTTAGAAATACCAAAATGGCTATCTGAAATACAGATTTACATCTGCTCTTGACAAAACTCACCTAAGTATATATCATCCTTAAGACTGTCAATGACAACAACACATACATAATTTATAAGTAAACAAACAAAAATATTAAAAGTACTGACTCACGTACTTTTTATTAAACTTACAATAATTTAAATAATAAAAAAGTTTAAACAATAAACTTTTACAATATTAGAAGTACTGACTACCAAACTATTTGGGAGTCTACTACACTGTGCTATCATTGCTTCTCTGTCAAGCAGTAAAATTCCTTTAGCCCTGGAATTGCTAAAAGGTAACTGTAAGAATACAAACTTCATTTTTTAAAAATGTGTAATGGTTTATAACAATTAATAATGTGTGTAAATAATGATGTATTTAATCTTTGCAATAGTCAATTGATCAGATAATTTAATCCCAAATAACCTATTTTCAATCAGGAAAAACTATAATTTATCATGGAACAAATACAAAAAGAACTTCTGTTTTGAAATTAATGCATTTATTTACTATTTGAAAAGTACTACTTGAGAAGTTGCAACCTGTGGTTTTTTTGAAAGTTTGGTTAAGCTTTTTATTTAAACACCTTAATCATTTAAACACTTGAGCTATTGCTAAATGCTCATCATTAATGCAAATTTATTAGACAATAGCTCTGCAAATGAGTTTAATTGTATATGCTACCTCTCTAATCACAGACAGATATATATTAACATATGTAAGAGTACACACCCACATTCACCCATATAAATTACAAATTCAGTAACAAGTTATGATCCTTTAAAGTATCTGAATCAAAAGAGACTGTTAGCAACAGCTGAAGAGAAAAGGAATATAAAAAAATAATAATCTTAACATACTGGCAAAAACAAAGGTGCGAATTAACAATGTTTTGCTTGTTTGTTTGTTTTTTGTTTTTGAGACCGAGTCTCGCTCTGTTGCCCAGGCTGGAGTGCAGTAGCTTGATCTTGGCTCACTGCAACCTCTGCCTCCCGGGTTCAAGTGATTCTCCTGCCTCAGCCTCCCGGTAGCTGGGACTACAGGCGCGCGCCACCATGACTGGCTAATTTTTGTATTTTTAGTAGAGACAGGGTTTCACCATATTGGCCAGGCTGGTCTCAAACTCCTGACCATGTGATCCACCCTCCTTGGCCTCCCAAAGTGCTGGGATTACAGGCATGAGCCACAGTGCCTGGCCGAAATGTGGGTTTTATTCTGAGATGGAAAACCATCGAAGTTCTGAGCACAGAAGAGACATTTGACTTCTGTTTTAAGAAGAACGCTCTGGCTACTGTGTCTAAGCATGAAGGGGAATGAGGTCAAAAGCAGGGAGCACTGTTACAAAGCTATCAAAATAATACTGGCAAGAGATCACAGTGGTTTGGACCAGGGTTAAAACAAAGGGGGTAAGAAATGACAAGATTCTGGACATATTGTAAAAATAGAATCAACAAAATTTACTAATATAGGATATGAAAGAAGGTCAAGGTTGACTCCAGGTTTTAAAGGCTGGGCAATGGGAAAAATGGAGTTAATTTCAACGAATGTAGGAAAAACTGTGGAAGAGGCTGATTTGAAGAAAATATATTCAGTTCAGTTTTGGATGAATTAAGTTTGAGATATCAATTAGACATTCAAGAGGAAATGTTAAATAGGAGTCTGGAGTTGATTGAAAAATTATGAGCTGTTAGTATAATTTGGGAGTTGTCAGTGCATAGATTATACTAAAACATGTATGAACTTGGATGAGATCTCTAGGTGTACATGGAGAAGTAAAGTTAAGCCCTGAGACAATCAAATATGAAGAGCCCAGGGAAAAAGAAGCAGACTGGGTATCCCTTTTCTTAAACGCTTGGAACCAGGAGTGTTTCGGATTTGGGATTTTTTCAAATCTTCGAATATTTGCATATACATAATAAGATATCTTGGGGATGACATCCAAGTCTAAACACAAAATTCACTTGTTTCCTACACATCTTACACATAGTCTGAAAGTAATTTTATACAATACTTTTAATAATTGTGTGCGTGAAACCAAGTTTCTGTTAAGTACAGATGTGTGGAATCTTACACTTATGGTATCATATTGGCAGTAAAAGTGTTTCAGATTTTGGGGCCAAGTGCAGTTACTCATGCCTGTAATCCCAGCACTTGGGAAGGCCAAGGCAAGCAATCACCTGAGGTCAGTGAGACTACGTCTCAAAAAAAAAGCTTCAGATTTTGGAGCATTTTTTAAATGTTAAATTTCTAAATTGGGGATGCTTAACCTATACCAGAAAAAAATAACAGAGAGGCCAGTGAGAGAAAAGTCAAGTCCTGAGTGTGAACACCAAGTGAAGAAAGTGTTTCAGGCAGAACTGACCGTGCCAGAAGTTAAAGTATGATGAAGGCCTATCACTGACCACTTAGCAACATGGAGGACAATGGTGAATGGCAGCACCTTTGGTAGCATGGTTGGTGCAAATACGTGATAGGAATGCTGCTAAAGAGAGGAAAGGCATTGGGAAGAATGCAGAAATCATGGAAATTATCCTGTTTCTTAAACTTTTCTTTAATGTGATTTCACTTTTTTTCTTAGATACTCTTTTCCGAGCCGTCTAACATCCTGATCTAAATTTAGTCTACCTGTTTTCAAGGGCTATTACTCAGCTACTTCTGTGGAAATCTTTTGATTGTACTACCTTTTCAGGTAAGTCCCCTACTTTGAATTCCAGGTTTTTATCATTTTTTTTCCTTTACTGGAAGATGCTCAAATAACGGTTTCAACAACTATATGTTGGAGGCAAACACTGAGTCCTTGGACATCTGAATATACTATCTCTCTCACACTTTAGTACAGTTCAAGACAAAATCACTTTTTCTAAACTTTGAAAGGCACTGTGTCCTACCTGTCTATTGATTTATACTGCTTTTGTAGAAACACCAAATTTTTCTGTCTGGATATTTAGGATCTTGTCTCAATAGCTGGTATTCTATAATTTCACAAAGACTTGTTTGGGGCAGGCCATGTTTAAATTTTTCCTACACAGCACTGGAAGAACTATTTTAATTTAGAGACTCTTGTACAGGTCTCAAATATATCTTTTTCCGTACTACTTTTTTTTTATTTGGTCCAAACGGGTTAATCATTTGTCTCTAAACTTTTCTTTCATATTTTCACTCTACAGACTGGGAGATTTTACTCACTTTTCCTTCTTTCACTTAGCCTTTCCTTATTCTCTTAGCCTTTCATTATTCTCTGTAACAATCTTTTTAATTTCTCATACTTTCTTATTCTGTGATTCTTTATTATTTAATAGTGGTTCTTGTTTTATGAATATAGACTAAAATCTCTCTGTAGATACTAATTATTTCTATTTAATCCAAGACCTCTATATTCTGTCTACCACAGTATTCTCATTTCTATCTAGATCTAAGTATAAAAAACAAGAAAAAAAGCAAAACAGGGAGGAGATAAGTAGGGAATAAAAACCATAGCTAGGGTCAGGACTAAAATGATTACTCAGTCCAAATTTGTAGCTAAGGTAAATTGGGAACACTTAGTTTTTCTCTAAATAGACATTTCCTTTGCTGATCAGTTATTTGCTCCATGTACTATTCACCTAACATGTTTATAACAGACTCCTCTCTACTTGTGACAATTAGTCACTTCAAACAATTTGGGGTTTTTACATACTTCTTACTAGTACTAAAACAAATATATAAACATGTTGCTAAGAATTAAAGGAGTTAATCAGAGATGTATTAATTTCTAGGTCTCTCAATTATTAATCTAGAAGTCATTACTTTATCATTTTAACTACAGTATTATGCCAGCAGCTCTGGACAGACAATAGGAATAATCTTTAAGGATTACAAGGAAGAACATGGACCTGCAAGATACACTTCTCACAGTAAACTAGTGAATTTAAAGACAAAGGCTTTGTTTATTTCTTATTTACATACACTTTGTCTAATACATTGTCTGGCAGTATATTTAAACAGTTACTGAACAAACGAATGAATCAACGAGATAATTCTGTGCTCCTTTCTCTGATGGAAATATGGTCACATAATGGAAAGAGAGTGCTAAGTATTTGGGCACACATGGATTCAAACTTCATTTAGGCAAGTTAATAAACTGCTCTCATTATTAGAGCCCTCTCTTGTGACTTGTTTCTAATGAAGACAGTGTGATGGATGTGACTGTGTGTGATGTACAAGAATAGGGTAATAAAAGGAATTGTGGCTCCCTTAATCTCTCTGTTCACTCTTTCTAGAAGAAACCAGCTGCCACATCATGAGATCACTCAAGTAGACCCATGGAAAGCCCACATGGTGAAATACTGACTGTTTCTGACAAAATCCACAAGAAACTAAGGTCTTCCAGCAACAGCCACATGGATGAGCAACCTGGAAAGCAGTTATCTCAGCCCTAGTCAAGCCTTCAAATGACTGCAGTCCCAGCCTACATTTGACTGCAACCTCTTGACTGCAACTACTTGACTGCAACATTATCTTTACAAAGAATGTAAATTAAAATGAAGATTTAGGCACAGGGAGAGAAAAATCAGCTAAACTTTCAGAAAAGTTTCAGCCAATAGCATGGATCTACACACTTATGACTCATCTTCTGGGAGCCAGAAATAACTCACTTTTAAAGTATCTTTTCTAGAAAAACAAAGTTGAGAATCAAATACAATTTGATCCTTACTTGAAGAAGTCTTGGTTACCCTTCCAAGTCCATTAGAATATTTATTTTATATTCTCTCATATTTACATATATGCCTCCAAAATGCCCTAAAAACATTTAAAATTCCTCTTAAATCAGTCTTCTATAATGATCTACCCTGCATTTCCTTTTAGTACATGAATTCCTTAGACACACAGAATTTTGATAATTTACACCTATTATCACAACTGAGATATAAATTCAGACTACAAACTTTATGACAAAATGCATTTATGACAAACTATGACAAATGTTATTAGAAAGCTATTTTACATATACATGTCAAAATCAACTATATTTTAACTTAGTTTACTAACATTATCTCGTCTTTTTATTAACTGCTAAGGCAAAATAAATATCCCAAGAGTTAACAAGGTATTTATTTTGAATAACAATCAAAGCCTACACTTAAATTATTTCTCATACTTGTATATTCTTTTTAATCTATCTCTAGATTTCTCCTATCTTCTATCCGCCAGCAAATGACCACGTACACATACACACAACCGCAAAATCGTCCAGGAGATCTTATTTTCTAACTAGTAGATACACAATAAATAAGGAATGAGGCGAAGTCATTCCTATATTTCACTGCAAATAATAACATGAATTTCCTACATAAACATGGAATAATTTCTCCACGTAAGTATTTAGAAATGTCTGTCGGCACTTTTAATTTTCAGTATAGAAGTCTTGTTCAAGTTAATTGAATTTATTCTTAGCCATCTTACATATTTCAATGCTATTCTACACGTATTTTAAAAACTTTTACACTTTGTGGTTGCTAGTACATATATTATAATAATTGGCCTTGTATCCAATCGCCTTGCTAACTTCACCTATTTTAATAATTTGCTGGCAATGTATTTGGGGTTTACGTTTTCTAATTTTTATATTATTTTTTGGCCGAGCATACTGGTTAGAAGTCCGATGCGGCCGGGGGCGGTGGCTCACGCCTGTAATCCCAGCACTTTGGGCAGGAGGATCACGTGAGGTTGGGAGTTCAAGACCAACCTGATCAACATGAAGAAACCCCATCTCTACTAAAAATACAAAAGTAGCCGGGCGTGGTGGCGCATGCCTGTAATATCAGCTACTCAGGAGGCTGAGGCAGAAGAATCGCTTGAACCTGGGAGGCGGAGGTTGCAGTGAGCCAAGATTGTGCCATTGCACTCCAGCCTGGGCAACGAGCAAAACTCTGTCTCCAAAAAAAAAAAAAAAAAAAAGAATAAAAGATAAAAAGTTCAATGCAATGTTGAATAGAGGGACAGATGTATTACACACAAATCAGTGGTTTTTCATTGAATATGATGTTAGCTGTATGTTTTTTGTTGGCAAATTAAGAATGCTTCCTTCTATTCATAAATTGATGAGGTTTTCTAAACATAAACACATGCTGAATTTTGTCAAATAATTTTTTTGTAAATTCTACAAAATTTACAATTTTTTTTCTCTATGGACCTATGAACTCACTACATTATTCTGTAAAAGTGATAGATAACATTGATTAATTTTATTTTTTATTTTTGAGACAGGGTCTTGCTCTGTTGCCCAGGCTAGAGTGCAGTGGCCAGATCAAGGCTCACTGCAGACTCAACCTTGGCTTAAGAGATCCTCCCACCTCAGCCTACTGAGTAGCTGGGACCACAGGCATGAATCACACCCAGTTAATTGTTAAAATTTTTTGTAGACACAGGGTCCCACTATGTTGCCTAAGCTGGTCTTGAACTCCTGGGCTCAAACGATCTTTCTGCCTCGACCTTCCAAAGTGGTGGGATTACAGGCATGAGACACTGCATCCAGGCAAATTATTACTTTTAAAACATTTAACCAACTTAACTTTACATTCCCCAAACAAATCCATGTCGGTCACAATACATTAACCCTTTTATATCTCACTGGATTATTCTTTTATCTATGTTTATGAGAAATATTGGCTTAAAATGGTCTTGTCATGCTTTTGTCCGGTTCTCCTATCAAGATTATACTAAAGTCATAAAATACACAAATAAATCTATGTTCTTCTTGTTCTCTAGAAGAGTCTGTGTAAATCCAGGATTATATCTTACTTAAATGTAAGGCAGATTTGTCAGTGAAGCCATCAGGTCTAGGATTTTCTTTGTGGAAAGGTTTTTGACAAATTCAACTACCTTAATAGACAAAGAACAACTCAGATTTTCTATTTCTTTATAGGTAAGCTGAGTAAACTGTGTTTTTCAGGGATTATGACCTTTCATTCAAGTTGTCAAATGTATTATCAAGTTGTACATAATTCCCTTTCATTAACAATTTAATATAGAGAGGATCTGTAGTGATGTCTCTTTTTTTCATCCCTGATACGAGTATTTGTGTTTTCTTTCATTTTTCTTAATCAGGTCATTAGAGGTTTTCATTTTTAAAAAGTTTTCTTAACTAATTGACTGTAGAACTTTCCTGCTTCATTGATTTCTACTTTTATACTATTTCCTTCTTTCTACTTCCTTGGGTTTAATTCATTGCTCCTTTGAGTAAGAGCTTAGACTACTGACCGTTAACCTTTGTTCCTTACTAATTTATACATCTAAAGCATAAAGTTACCTCTAAGCACTGCTTCAGCTGTATTCCAAAAGTGCTGATATGTATTATTTTTATTATTTTTCAGATTAAAATGTTTTTGAATTTCCACAGTGACTTTGTTTTTCATTCATAGGCTAACCCAGAAGTGTCTTGGTTAATTTCCAAATATTTGCAGCCTATTTTTTTTGTTATTGGGTTGTAATATAATTCTATAGTGATCAGAGAACACGCGTTATATAATTTAAATTCTTTGAAGATTAATGATACTACTTTATGACCAAGAATATTTTTGCAAATGTCCCATATGCACTTAAAAATAATGTAAAGCCTTCAGTTGTTGAATATAATGTTCTACAAATGTCAATTAGGTCAAGTTGATTAATCATACCATTCAAATTTCCTATTTCTTTACTAATACTTATTTTATCTTATTGTTCTACCAGTTACTTTGAATGTACTTAAAATCTCCAGCTAGGAATACGGATCTACCTTTCTTTTAGCTATTTTAGCTTCTGTCTTACATACTTGGAAGCTGTGTTACTATGTGAAAACATATTTAGAATTATGTCTTCTTGATAAATTGGCCCACTTACCATGGTTTTCTTTTTTTCTTATCTCTCAGAATACTTCTCTCCTTAAGTCCATTTTGTCTGGTATTAATATAGCCACATCAGCTTTCTTTTGGTATTTGCAACAATACTGATTCCATCTTTTCATTTTACCTGTGCCTTTACTTGTAAAGTGCTTTTATTATAAACAGAATATAGGTAGGTCTTGCTCGCTTCTATATAATATCTGATAATCTTTCTCTTTTTGTTGGAATATTTAATCCATTCGCATTTAACCATAATTACCAATGTAGTCTGGTTTAAATCTACCATCTTGTTATTATTTTCAATCATCTCACCTGTCCTTTGTTCCTTTATTCCTCCTTTCTTGAATTCCTCGGTAATGATAATTTTTTTGTTATTCCATTTCATTTCATCTACTAGCTTTTTTGATATATCCTTTAAAATACCATTATCTTACTGGTTTTCCTAGAAATTACAAAATGTATCCTTGATGTATGCTGGATAATATTTCCTAGAAGCTCTAAATAACTTACCTTTCTCTAATGAGCATTTTAAGTTCTCTTCCGGCAGGCAATTATATTGCATGTAGATTGTCTTAACATCATAGAAGTCTGGTTGTGGTTTATGTTTGGACAAGTCCATTTCAGCTTGTCCTTATATCAAAGTGTGCCCTACACTCTTACCGTCTACTTCAAACTACAGATGCTCCTTGACTTACAATGGGATTATGTCCTGACAAATCTAGTATAAAATGAAAATATCATTAAGTTGAAAATGCTTTTAAGATCCTACTAAACCCATTGTAAAGTTGAAAAATCATAAACGAAACCAGTTGAGCACTGTCTGTAGTTCTTTTACCAGGTCCCAAAAGATGCAAGAAACTCTCATAACAGTTTAACTCCTTCATGTCCATGGTTGTTATTTTCATATAGCTCACCCTACATATAAGCCCCACCAAACATTATCAAGACTGTTTCAAACACCTTCAATATCCCTTTCTGAAAACGTCTACTTATTCCATTTCCATGCCTCCATCTGTCTGATGTTCCTTTAGCCTGAATAACATCTTTTAATGTTTGTTATGAGTCTGCCGGTGACAACTTCCCTCTCTGCTTCTGTATGTCTCAGACTGTCTTTGTTTTTGAAGGATATTCAAATGAAAACAGTATTCTACATTAGATGCTTTTTTTTTCTTTTTTGGAGCACTATAAAGATGTATTACTATTGTTTGCTGGCTTCCACAGTTTCCATTAAGAAGTCCATGCTATCTGAGCTGAATACATATACTCAAACACCTATCAAGTGAGTGTGCCTGCCAGTGAATTAAAAATGAGAGAAAATAAAAAGTTTAAGGATTGGAAAGGAAGGAAAAATCTCATTATTCACAGACAACACGGTTACATATGAAAAAAAAATGGAAGAAACTACCTACAAGTAAAGTTCTACAGTAATAAGTTTTAGATGGTTGACAGATACAAAGTTGACATAAAAATGTATTATCACATTCCAACATATAGCTAGAAAACTAAATTTATTACTAATATTACCTAAAAAGGTTATTGTTTACAACAGCAACCACAAACATCAAATCCCTAGAAATAAACTCAATGAAAGATGCAGAATATCACTCACAGACATTTTAGAAGACATAACTAAATGGAGAAAAATCCCATACTCATTGGCTTGGTTCAGTTTCATGAATTTCAATTCTCCTTAAATAATATATCGGTTAAATGTAATCCTAATAAAATCCCAGCAGGCATTTTTTTGGGGAAAATTGACAAGGTGATTCTAAAATGTAAACAGGACTGTAAATGGCCAAGAATAACCAAAGTTATCATTAAAAAGAACAAGGTACAAAGAGGTAACTCTTTCAGAAGACAAATCCTAAAAACCTATGATAATTAATAAGAGGCTTGTTAGGGAATAGGCAGACAAATATATCAATGGAATAGGATAGAAAAGTGTCCAACAGACCGGGCGTGGTGGTTCATGCCTGAAATCTCAGCAGTTTTGGAAGCTGAGGTGGGTGGATCACTTGAGGCCAGGAGCTGGAGACCAGGCCTGGCCAACATGGTAAAACCCTGTCTCTACTAAAAATACAAAAATTTGCCGCACACGGTGGTACATGCCTGTAGTCCCAGCTACTTGGGAGGCTGAGGCAGGAGAATCACTTGAACCCGGGAGGTGGAGGTTGCAGTGAGCCGAGATTGCCCCATTGCACTCTAGCCTGGGCAATAGAGCAAGACTCCATCTCAAAAAAAAAAAAAAAAGAAAAGAAAAGTGTCAAACAATAGAACTTTCTGTGATGATGAAATTCTGCAGTGTTCAAGCCTATATTAATTTTAATCTTAAACAGCCACATGTGACTAGTATCATATAGGACCAACACAGGAACAGAGTCCCGAAACAGATACACATTACATACAATTGACTTACGACAATGCTACATTACAGAGCTCTAGGGACAAGATACGTTTTTTCATTGAACACACTAGATTAATTGGATACTGATGCAGAAACAAAATTTCGCCTGTTTTCCACAAAATGCAAAACTCAATTCCAAAAGGACTGTAGATCTAAATGTAAAAGGCAAAACAATAAATCCAAAAAAACTATAAATCTTTATATTGTTGGAGTAAAGAAAGATGTTTTAAAAAAGGGAACAAAAAGTAAAATTTCCTAAAGAAATAAAGGGCCAATGAACTGCACAATGGAATTTAAAATTTCCATTCATAAAAAGATACCATTCAGAGACTGAAAAGGAAAGCCACAAATGAGAAAAGAAATGTACATTACATATAAGTATCAAAGTGCTCACATACAGCATATATAACATACTCCTAAATATAAAAAAGAATAAGATAATCCAAAAGAAATGTGATAACATGATGAGACACATTCCAGAAAAGGATACACAAATGGCTAAGAAACATATGAAAAGGTATCAATTTCATAAACTGGCTGAAATCATAAATTAGAACAAGTTACTATTATACACCAGAGATGAAAATTAAAATATTAACCATATCAAATGTTAGTGTGGATTTTAAGCAACTTTCACTTTACAGTTGTAAATATACATCTCTGCATTCATCTTGGAAAACTTTTTGGAAGCACCTACTAAACCTGAACATATGCATATGATATGGTCAGGCAGTCCATCTTCCAAATGCATACCAAGACATATAAACATGTTCACCTACAGTCCCACTCATATGGCAGTCTGTGGAGGGTGACTGCTTGAGCCCAGGAGTTCGAGGCTGCAGTGAGCTATAATCTTGGCACTGCATTCCAGCCTGGGCAACAGAGCAAGACCCCATCTCTAAAAAAATAAAGAAATTTTTTTAAATGTTCATAGAAGCAATGTCCATAATAATTTCAAACTGTAAACAACCCAAATGTTCAACAGCAAAACGGGTGAATATAACAGAATACATTTGTAGGCAAAATACTATAAAACAAAAACGAACTACAGCTACCCACAACAGGAATACTACAAACACAAATAGATCTCATAAAAATGAAAGAAATGAAAAACAGCCAAATACAAAAAAATTCATGCTGTATGTTCCATTTTTATAAAAGTTCAAAAACAAGCAAAACTAATCTATGGTGTTACATACCAAGAGAGAATAACCACCTTTTCCGGAGAAGAGGAAGACAAAATGCTGAAAGGTATTATAGCAGAAGGATGTGCTAGTAACATTCTAATTCTTTTTTTTTTTTTTGAGACAGAATCTCACTCTGTTGCCCAGGTTGGAGCGCAGTGGTGCAATCTTGACTCACTGCAACATCTGCCTTCTGGGTTCAAGTAATTCTCCTGCCCCAGCCTCCCGAGTAGCTGGGATCATAGGCACCTGCGACCACACCTGGATAATTTTTGTATTTTTAGTAGAGATGGGGTTTCACCATGTTGGCCAGGCTGATCTCAAACTCCTGACCTCAAATGATCCACCTGCCTCGGCCTCCCAAAGTGCTGGGATTACAGGTATGAGCCGCTGCACCCAGCCACATGCTAATTCTTGACTTGGTTGGTGTTTATATTGACTTCAGTCTGTGCTAATTTACTGAAGTTACACACATTTTTACAAGCACAGTGCAATAAAAAGTTTTATATAGTCACTGGAAGAAAATATATTCAAGTGTTAAAGTTATATTTCAGTTTGGGTCTATGAGTGATTTTTATGCCTTTGGAAGGCATTTTTTGTTTTCCAACTTTTCTTTCACACACTTGTGCTCCTTTTGTAATTGGCAGAAAAATGTTTAATCACTTTGTTAGCAACAGGTTTTTATGGACCACTGAAAATTAGGCTAAGACACTTGAGAATGCAAAAACACATATTTAATTATTAGACAAAAATAGAAAGTGTGAAGTGGAATTATCCTGGGAAACCTAGGACATGAGATCCTTCTTCTAACCACACAAACATTAGAGAATAAGAAACACATGTATAAAACAAGATCTCACGAAAATTCAACTTCTCAATTTCTGTTTCTAACAGTATGACAGATAAAAAAAATTTTTTAAACCTCACAACTCAAAGCAAATACAAATGTCTTAACTCTGGGCAGGGGGTGAATGGTGGAAAAGAGAAGGAATATCTCGCCTAACAATTCAAAGCCACAGCTTAATCTCATTAGATTTGTGGCTGCAATTCATACAACCTGTATGAGCCAACAAGCCACAAAGTGAGAATATTGTTAAGTCTTAGGGATCAGTGTTCCAAGTACCTGGGAACAAAGCTAATTCCTCTCAGTTGAAAGTCACCTCACTTTCAACCCAGGTCAGAATTCTCACATGTAAAATTTCAAAGAATATGAACTCACAATAAAAAGTACAACATACATGAGAAAGAACGTTGACAAGAATTAACAAAATAAAAGGAAACGGAAAATGCCTATGAAGACTTCAGATATTAAGATTATCAGATGAATGTTTCTTTAATGTGTAAATCATAAAAATAAGGGTCACTAAAAGTATAACTTAAAAGGACAACACTAGGCTGGGCCCAGTGGCTCATGCCTGCAATTCCAGCACTTTGGGAGACCGAAGCAGGTGGGCAGTTTGAGCCCAGGAGCTCAAGACCAGATGAGCAACATGGTGAAAACCCATCTCTATAAAAAATGTAAAAATTAGACAGGCATGGTGGTGTGTGCCTGTAGTCCCAGCTACATGCGAGGCTCAGGTGGGAGGTCACGTGAGCCTGGGAGGTGGCGGCTGAAGTAAGCCGTGATTGTGCCACTGCGCTCCAGCCGGCGACAGAGTAAGGCCCTGACTTCGGGGGAAGGAATAAAAATCTTCCCACAAGCAAAACAATAGGCCCACAGGTCTTAATAGAAATTTCTATCCAAATATACAAATAGATTTCCAGTGCTAAACCTGTTTGTCCAGAGAATAGAAAAGGATTTCATAAGCTTGTTTTAAAGACACGTTTTAAAGTTCATTTGAAGAGCAGAGTAAA